GGCCGCTGCCCCCCCGCAGCTGACCGTCCCTTCGGAAGGTACCTGCTCAGATGGAGAACTGGACGTTGTGATGTAAAGCAAAAGTACAGGCTGCTGCGAAAGGGCCCGGGCTAGAGCGGGAGGGGCTTACAGGAAGTGACATCTGCCTGTGATGTGAAAGGTCACGCTGGGCCAGGAGTCGGACGGCTCCAGATTTCCAGGATCCCTGTTAGGGCCTGTACGCGACACCATCCCCGCCGCCGGCCATGCAGCGGCCTGTGGGCTATCACCCTGGGAATCTGCTTCCTTCTCTTTCACTTCATTACCTTCCTGATAAGGCAGCCCTCTGGCCTTATCTGAGCTCTGCTCATTTCTTGCACATACAAGGAAACTACTAGTATCTTGTAAATAGTGTCATTGCGTGATAAGCCTCAGGACACCGTCGTCCCTCCTGACCCACAGTTTCGCTTTCCAGGGTTCCCGTTACCCGCGGTTAACTGCTGTCTGAAAATATTACATGGAACATTCCAGAAATAAACCATTCGTTAGTTTTAGATTGCACGCCATTCCGAGTAGTGTGGTGAGATCTCTCTCCATCCCGCCTGAGAGGTGAATCGTCCTGTTGTCCAGGATCCACGCCATAGATCTACCCGCCTTAGCCACTTAGTGGTCGCCTAGGTTATCAGATCCACCAAGAGGTAGCTCAGTTCCCGTGGCCATTGTTTTACTTAATAGCATCTCATTCGCCCCACTTCATATCATCACCTGGGCATGTGTCATCTGACGGCCTCACAAGAAGACGGAGGAGCACAGGGCTCTAAGATATCTTGCGAGAGAGAGACCACATTCGCATACTTTTATTATAGTATATTGTTACAATTGTTCCACTTAATTATTGTTGTTAGTCTCTTTATTGTGCCTAATTTATAAATTAAACTTTCTCGTAGGTATGTGTGTATAGCAAAAAACAAAGAATATACAGGGTTCGGTACTATCCGCGGTTTCTGGCATCCACTGGGGGTCTTGGAAGGTGTCCCTTGTGGATAAGAGGGGACTGCTGTCTACTGAAGCTCTGACATTGGCTTTTAAGATGAGTTCACTCTGGACTTTTGTCACTGGGCTGCCTGTTGCTGCTTCTTAATCCCCCTTTAGGTCTCGGACAGGAGTTCATAGTGATGAAGGGAACAGTCTGATGCAGAAGAAGGGGCCTGGGCTCTGTAAAGACTGGGTTCCGTGAGGAGACTGCAGGCTCTGTAATAGGTTAGCCCCGGAGGAAGTGGGCAGCTGAGAACGGGAGGGGGGTGGGGAGGAGAGTCCTGGAGGACCAGGGCACTTGGTGATGGAGGGTGTGAGGGATGAGCGGGGGAAGGATGGAAATGGCACGGGGTGGAGTTACAGGGGCGGGAGGTAGGATGATTACATCGCCCTGACGGAGGAAAAGGGGAAAGGGTCGGCCTGGACAGCGGAGCGTGTTGTGAGGGTGCAGCAGAGCACCTGCGTGGGAACAGAGCATTGGGGGCGGTCTTGCTGGGACCTCTGTGTTCAGAGTGTCCTGGGGTAAACAATAGCTCTCGTCTCAAGGATCTCCTGTTGGAGTAAGTCCACGGCTGGGGAAGAGGGCGAGTTTGCGTCTTGAGGGATAACTTGACGGGGCGAGGGGAGGGTGCACGGAGGAGCAGTGCCAGTGCATCGCACTGATGGTGACACTGTGCTGTGTGCGTTGGTGTGGCTGTGCCCCGGGCTTGCCAGTGGGTCTCCAGCTGCTTAAAGAATTGTCGGTGGTGAGTGGATAGATAGGCTAAGATCTAGGGAAAGGAGGACAGGGACGTGACCTTCGTTAGGCTCATCGCAGTCGCTGGCCAGCTAAGAGCTCTTCAGAGGAGAGGATGGAGGATCACGGTGACAGTCGGGGGTGTGGCAGCACCTGCAGACCCCCCTGTGATAGGTACAGGCTGGAATTGTGGGAGAGAAACTGGACAAGGGCGGCTGGTAGGTTGGGTACAGCCTTTTCCCAAAGAGAGCAGAAGGGAGAGGGAGAGAGAGAAACACAGGATTTCCTCGGCGGGACGTGCCTGGAGTTGCCCTAATGGACGGCCAGGATTTTTAATGAGGATGAAGAATGGCGTCCGCTGGCAGAGGGGGGAGAGGCATGACACGTGCGTTACCAGGTGCCAGAGGCGTCACGTAGGGAGTCTCTGTGGATGCTCAGAACCGCCCGCCCGAAGAGGTGATCGAATGAAATGGCCTCGTGTTACAGGGGGAGAAACAAGCCCGGCGAGGTGAGCGTGTGCCCCTCGGAGTCATGGCCAGGAAGCCTGGACGGGGCCAGCCGGGTCTGCGGGGCCTGGGCCGCCTGCCCCTGAGACCCCCTGGCAGCAGGTGTTAAGCTAGAAGTTGGGCTGGAAAGGGCCATCAGGAATTCCGGGTTTGGGAGGCAAAGAAAGGGCAGGCGTTGTGGGTGTGCATTCTGGACGGAGGAGCGGCAGTCAGGGTTCTGGGCGAAGCGCCGGCGGTGGAGCCCGCGGGTCAGCGGAGAGCAGGGCGAAGGGCCTTCGGGGAAGGAGGCTGGTTCAGGGCAGGCCTGCGAGCTTGGCCCACCTCCCGATGCCGGTGGCTGCCAGGTAACACGCAGCAGAGCCCCGAGCAGAAAGGAGTGAGAATCTGAGGTGCTGAAAGCCGTGGAAATTGCTCGTGAAAATGGTGGGAGGCAGAGGAGGGAGCAAAAACGATGAGCGGGCTGGAAAAGTGGGGGTAGGTCCGAGAGCAGAACTAACCTTTTTTCAAAATGCCTACAACATTTGTCATCTGTTTTCACATTCACAGTCATCCCAGAAAATAGGCTGCTGATTTCTCCTTCAGGGACGAGGAGGCCCGAGGCTCCCTGGGGAGCCTGCCCTGCTCAGGTGGCAGCGCCTTAGCCACGGGTGGGCTGAGATGCCAGCCCAGGGCCACCTGACTGCAGGCCAGCCTCCGGGGGGGGGGGAAGACCGCCTGGGCACTGCTCTGCCTGCTCCTTGCCCACAGCTTTCCTTCTCCTGAGAAAGACAGGAGGGCGTCAGGTTTTGGACCCGGGACGGGCATCCTGGGAGTCACGACTTTCGTTGGTCCAGTATTTGGAGCCACGGCTGGGAGCGTTCACACGTGTAGCTCTTCCCTCCTCCCAGCAGCCCTGTTATATACCTTTTATGGATGCAGGTTCAGAGAGGTTAGTACTATGATTGAGGTCACACAGCTAATAAGCCAGTGAGACCTGGATTGGCACCCGGCTCCGGATACTGCATCTGCTTACGTCTTCAGATCAACCCCGGGAAGATGGTGGCTGGTTGGTTGGACAATTGAGGAAACACGCTCGAGGCCAATGGCCAATCCCAGGCTGTACTAGGCAGGGGAGAGGTCTGCTAGAACCGGGTCTCCCTCTTCTCACCTGGCCCCTTGATGGCGGAGGAGGATGGAAAGGACCAGTCACGGTACCCAGGGCCAGGGAGGCAAGGTATGGGTCCCTGGAGGGGAGCTCGCCCTTTGAGGGTGGTGGGGTGGTGGTTGCTGGGGCCAGGAGCCTGGCCTGCTCCCCGGCCTCCCCCCCCCCCCCCAGGGACAAAGGCATGGCATTTGCGGGTCCTCTGTCTTTCCTGGCCCTTCTCTCACTGGCTGTTTGCAGTGTGAGCTTCCAGGGCCCTGGAAGGAGGAGCCCAGCTCTGGGGTGATGGGTGCAAGGGAGAGGCGCCACTCTCAGATCCAGGGTGTTCTAGAAGTTGGCGTGTGGGGCTCAGGAATTTACTTGGAAATGTTTCTCATTTATTTTTATTGCCAAGCGGCATCTAATGCAAATGTGGGAGAAGAGCGAAGAGCCTGCAACTCATCAATCACTTGCTCCCTTTCTCTGATGTCGCTCCTCATCCCGTGTCTACCCGCGTGGTTTTATAGGGTTGTAACTGCCGTGTGCATTCGGTGGTCGCCACAACCCGGTAGCCTGCTTTGTACAGTAGCCACGCCATCATAAACATCTCTACTCTTCATCATTATCATTGTAACCAGCTCTGTGGTATTTCTTTGGGTGGATAAACCTATTCCTCTGTGTTGGGGCACTTAGATGGTTTCTAGCTTTTTACTACTACAGACAATGCGGTAATTATAACTTTTCTTTAAAAAAGAAATTAGTTCCCTAAGATAAATTCTCAGGAATTTGGGTTCCTGGATTAAAGAGACAGAACTTTTTTCCCCTTTTAGATCGGCCTTTGGAAACTATGAGCAAATCCCTTTAAAGTGACGTTCCTGGGTATTGTTTTTGTAACCAGCAAACTGGCAGTGGGGGCTGGGTATCGTGTCAGGGCTGTGGGAAGCCACTACCCCCAGCCTGAACCTGTGGGGGCTGGGCTGTATCCGGGAAATGGCCGAGGGCCAGGTCTCACCTGCCTCCGGTTTTCCTGCTGCTGTGGCCGGGGCGTGGCTTGACTGTCACCTACCTGTCTCCCTCCCAGATGCCCGGGAAGCTTGTTGCTGCCTGAGCATGGAGACCCCGGAGGAGGAGAAGGAGGCGCTGCTCTCATTACGCTCCGGCCCTGCAGGTTGGCTTTGAAGGCTGATAGCTGTTTTCTCCCCTTTTCCCCAGAATTTGTTCCTGTGGACGAGTGGCTCCTCGATTCCCAGGCCCTTTGAGGTGTCAGGAACCCCGCTGGTGAAACGCTCTACCTCGCCGGAGAAACAACACCTGCTCCTTCATCCAGAGCGAGCTGGCCATTGCTATGGATACCGAGTCCACGTATTCTGGATATTCTTACTATTCCGGTCATTCGAAGAAATCCCACAGGCAGGGGTACGTAAGCGGTGGATGGCTCCACTTTTCCTTGTTGGGGAGACTGGCAGGGTGCAGGGCTGCGGGTGCCCGTGGCTCAGTCCCTGGTGCGTGAGAAGCCGAGCTTACGGAGCATTTAACTGGTGTGGGGCGTAACCACGCCACCAAATTGCGTTTTATTGCTTCCATTACCGCTGATGACCTTAATTTCTCACAATTGATTTTAAACGAGAGTTTCTCTCTGCAGTGGAAATGTTTTCCCATTTCCAAGTCCTTCTCATAGATGGCAGTTCTCCACAGCTTTGCCAAGAATGGAAATGAAAATTTGAAAAAGCATGTTAATTTGTTGCTTTGCAGCCAGAGCTGCTGACTCAGGGTCCATTTTGCATTTGACACGAGGCTTGTGCAATGAAGTGGGATTGGCCTCGTGTCCATTTGGCTTTTGAAATCGCTGTCCTAGGTACTGGGGGCTAACCCCCACTCTGAGCAGATGGGGCTGTTCACCCACCGAGCCTGCTGTACTGCAGACCTACTGAGTGTTTGGCATGTCAGGAACGAGGGGATGAAGTTGGCAAAATTACGGTGCTGCCACTTTCTCAGGCTCACCTGTGAAATGGGCATAGCAGGACCCTCCTCACAGTGCTGTGGAGAGGGTTCCATGAGGCTAAGCATTGAGCACAGCACACAGTAGGAGGTCGCTGACCAGTGGCTGCATTAATGCAATGAATGGCCTTGGCATTTAAGCCCCAGAGTCAAAGGCCACAACTGGCCACTGCCCTGAGGCCCCCTGTGGTCCAGCCCCGCATGACCTGGGAAGGTGACCGTAGCGGTGCCCCCTGACTGAGAAGGTCCTCCTACACGCAGCTGGATGCAGATACACCCGCAGAAAGGTCCGGAAGGACGCTCTTCCGGCCGCCAGGCGTGTCCGCCACAGGGAAGGGGCGGGACACAGACGGTGACTGACGGAAGACTCATGTCTCCGTTATCTTTCTGTCCTCATTCGGTCTTTGCCCAGTGTGTCTTTTGCCATTAAAAATATGAATGGAACAAAAGAGTGAAAGGACGGTTAGCAAAGATTGTTTAACGGCATGAAAACATGTTCATGAGGCTATGTTGTAAAAAACAAGATTCACAACTTTGTATGTTATCGTAGCTCTATGTTCTTGTGATAAGATGAATGTTAATGTATTGACTGTGCCCATCTATGGGGTTATTAGGGATCTGAATCCGTCTCTGGGATTATTAGGATCGTGGGGATATTTTTTCTTAAACTTCCATAATTTTCTGAGTTTTCATGTATGGCTGTTATAAACCTAAGAATTTGGGGGGAAAGTTGCATTGAAGGCCAGGTAAGGCTCCCGTGATAACAGTGTCATCACAGACTTCACCCAGTGGGTAAACATATCAAATTAGTTAAAAATACATACTAGAAACAGCTCTTTCAAAATAGCACATCTTTGGACCTGTCTGGAAAAAGCAATTCCTCATCCATGGGCCAAGCTTCGCTTCCCCACACCACAGTGATGGAGCTGGAACTTGGGGTCCCCGTGGTGTTCGGAGCTGAATAAGGGGGACACCTTGCAGCCTTCTGAGGAGGGACCGTCCAGTGTCCTTTATCTACACGCGTGTCCTGACTGTCATGCGTCAGGGCCCCTGCTCTGCTATGTCCTCAGGCCTCTTGGGGCCCCAGAAATTGATCCAGGACTGCCATGCCCGTGCGAAAAATTAAAAGACTGTAACTTTGCATGAAAAGAGCACGTAGGACCCTCAGTACCTCTAGGGCTCACGTGGAAAGTACTTCGCAAACGCTGATACAAGCTGACGCGTTTAATAAATTAATCAGGGGATGTTACCGAGCGCCTGCTCAGGGAAAGCTGCGGGAGAAGGGTTGGCCATTAAAGATTTATGGGTCACTCTGGCTCTTTATTTAGAATGAGCATCGCCCACCTATGGTGATTCTCTGTCTGAGGGCCCGTGGGGTGTGTCACTGTGGAGCAGGCGACAGCCGGTGAGGCCGTAACAGCACCCTCCACGGCCTTGCCAGCCGGCCCCGGGGCCAGCAGAGAGACTGCCACCCAGCAGTGTCCCTGTGCAGGCCGCCCTGCTCAGGACTCGAGGGGAATGGGATGGAAGCGGAGGAGAGGGGCGAGCCTTGCTCTTGGGGTAATTTCACTAGACCTTTCACCGGAGAGGAATAGTCAGTGTACCAAACTTGGGGTGCACGGGGACACCGTGGTTAACTAGGGAGGGCACCTGGGTTCCAAGCAGACAACAGGTGACTCTTTCCTAGCAAAGAGGTCAGTGCGCTGGTTTTGCGATGTCTGCCCTCTCCAGAGGGTGTCAGTTAACTTGCTGGGAAAATGGGGTGGGCCGGCCTCGCCAAACCTTTGGGTTCGGAGCCCCAGTTCCCTGAGTTCAGTACAGCAGCGGCCGGCCTTGTTCAGGACCACTTGCAGAGTGCCCGCTAGGACGTCGGTCCTCACCCCGCATCCTCCCAGCCCTCCCAGCACCGTGGGCAGTGGTACCCCCATTCCCCAGGTGGTAAGACTGAGGCCCAGAGGCACCACGATTTGCCTGAGGTTACAAGGCTAGTGGGTGCTGTAGGCAGGCTCAGGCCCACTGGTTGGCCCTTGGGAAGCCCGCCCTCTCCCCTGGGCTGTGCAAGAGTAACTGGCAGGGAAAAAAGAAAAGGAAATGAAGGGTAACTCATGTGACTGATACGCTAAAACGCATTGTCCAGAAGAGGGCTGTGGAGCGGTGGGGGACGGGTGGCTTTGTTCCCAGGCCACAGAGTCAGTGGGAGAGGAAGCAGCCGGGCCCCAGCCGTCAGCAGACAGAAAGGGCAGCTAGTGGGTGGTGGTGGAGAAGGAAAGGGAGGAGTCCCCGGTGGGGCCGGCTTTCCCCAAATAGAAAGACAAACAGCAGACACAGCGCCAAATCATCTTTCCCAGGAAATGCCGACTGAGTGGGACCCGGGGGGGGACTCGCCAGGGATCCTGGCTGGGGGGCCAGGGGTTTGCAGCCACCGCCAAGGGCTCAGCTGCAGAAGCGCCCTCAGTAGGTGCGTTCACACACGCGCAGGGCACAGACCCATGCCCGGGGCCTCATGCGTGCCCTTGCCTCCTCCGCCCGCCCCTCTCGCGCGCACACGTGCACAGATGCGCTTATCTTGACTCACACAGGCAGCTGTTGCATGGAAACAGACTCGGCGATAAAGACACCGGATTCCTGTGTGACACCCCTGCTCGGCAAAGGCAGGCACACAGGTGACCCGGCCCGCTCAAGCGGAGCTGCGAACACCCCAGGGTGCACGCGTTTCTCTCGGGTTTGGTCGCCTTCCCTGTCTCCTGTTTGCATCCCCCGATGGTCCTCACTGGGAGCCCTGCCCAGGGGGCGCTGGGCACTTTCCTGGAGTTAGGGCATTGGGCGCTGTTGGGATGGGCGTTGAGGCAGCCGCACTGTGGCTTGCAGCTCTGTAAGGGAAGCGCTGGCCGGTGTTGGACTTTGCTCTTTAGCACCGGCTCAGAGACCCTCCGGAGCAGGCTTTCAGGACCCTGCTTTCCCTAAAAGCCGTAGGGCAGTCCTTGCTCCCTTGACACAAGGACAGCACAACTCGGCCCAGGCTGAGCTGCTAGGACGATCGTTACACTCACTTGACTGTGCAGAGGAAGGTCTCGCCCTGTGTCCCTCTGTCCCATGTACACTGCCCTGCGTCCCTCTGTCACATGCCCGCTGTCCTGTGTCCCTCTGTCCCATGCCCGCTGCCCTGTGTCCCTCTGTCCCATGCCCGCTGTCCTGTGTCCCTCTGTCCCATGCCCGCTGTCCTGTGTCCCTCTGTCCCATGCCCGCTGCCCTGTGTCCCTCTGTCCCATGCCTGCTGTCCTGTGTCCCTCTGTCCCATGCGTGCTGCCCTGCGTCCCTCTGTCCCACGCACGCTGCCCTGAGCCCTCCTCCCAGCCGCCTCCACCCAGTGCTGGTTTAATAAAGCAGCCGCTGGACATTGGGACACCGTACAGCTGAGTGTCACACCCATGAGCGAGCCCCTGCTGTATACAGGACACTTCCCCGACAGGCCGACTTCCAAGCAGCTCGTCCAACAGCCCCTTCCCCAGGGGCAGGTGGTGGGAGAGCCTTGGGGAACGGTTCCTGGGTCACCTGGGGCGCTGGTGGAAAATGCAATTCCTGTTGTCTCCCTTCCAGAGGAATCCTCTGAGGGTGGCGCCAGCGAGTCTGCACCCACACCCGCACCCCGCGGCTTCTCTGCACTGGGTTCTGAGAAGCGCTGGTCTGGGGTTTCTGGCTCTGGGGATGAGAAACCCTCCTAGGTGATCAGATGGCTCTTCTCTGGCTTACCCCGATGGGACCAGAGGCGCTGAGGCCGCCGCGCCTCTCTGGGTGCTGTGGGTGCGGTTGGAGTGATGGCGGGTCCCTGGGAGGCTGTTGCCAGCCTGCTGGGTCCCCACCTGCTGTCTGCCTGGGGCAGCCACACTCGGTGAAGAATGTTGCTTTCCGCTGGAATCTGTGCCGTCGCAGGATTTGACCCATGGGACCGGCGACGAGGTGGATGGGTGAGGCCTGCATGTGAGGTGGCTGATGGCAGAGAGAGCGACAGAGATGAGAGCGGGTGGGGAAAGGGAACAAGAGTGAAATCGGACAGGAGGCTCCTGGTCTGGCCTGGAGGCGGGGGACCCTGGGAGCAGTGGTTCTAGACTTCGAGGGAGCAGTTCACCCTGCCAGGTGGGGATCTCCCTGGTTGTTTGTGGGTCTCACAGTGAGTCCTTTGCAAGTGATTGTTTTGGGCAGAGTGTTGGCCACCCACTCCGCGTTGTGCTGTCCTAGGCCACAGCCCATGGTGACTCCTAGCAGTAGCTTCAGAGGCATATTCCCAGCTGTGCTAGTTCCTCAGGTATAGGGTGAGGGGATGGGCAGTAGGAATGTTCATGCTGCAAAATCTCCTAAGGCTTCTCAGATCAGTGCAGCATAGTGGGTATCAGTGGAGGCAGGGAGCAGGCCTGGGTTCCGATCCCCCTCTGCCACGGACTGTGACTTTGGGAAGTCACTTCAACTCTTTGAGCCTCAGTTTCCTCGTCTGTAAAATGGGGATAGTAATACTGGCCTCAAGGTTATTGTTGGGGTAGAATGACATTAATACCACCGCGCACTCAGTAAAGTGCTCTAAGAAGTGGGGTGGGCGTGGAGCGGAGTGATTGGCAGTGACTCTCAGATCTCTGGGCTGTTTCCCCGGTTGCCTGGCTGACATGAGCCGAGTTGACCAGAACACATCTATTGCTGGACTCTGATTTACAATAGATGTAAGTAACTTAGAGATTAGAGTCGCTATCACGAAAGAGTCAGAAGCCTCCCAGCTCTTTGAAGGGCTTAGCCCATGCTGATCCTCGGGCCGTCCTGATAAGGTAGGAGTTTGAACAGGACTCCTGCATGTGGTGTTGTTAGCTAAGTAGTAGATTAATGGAAGGTGTGCTGTGGGGGCGGGAAGGGGTGTGAGGGTGTGTTGATGGCTCATTTTACAACTCTTTCTGCCAAGGTACACACTTTGCCCTCGGCTAAGAGTACTAGCCATAATGATAGTAGCTACACCTACCGCCACACCCCTGTCCTCAGCTCTGCCTGCACAACCTCTTTGGTGGTATCATTAGCCCCATCTCACAGAGCAGGAAACGGAGGCCTTCGGAGATTGAGTAACTTGTGCAAGACTCCACCTATAGTAGGGGCAGCACCGAAGGGTCCCCAGGGTCAGCGGTGCCATGCTTCTGTCCCGCCTGGAGACCTGGGAGTGAGGACAGTGGTTGGAGGAGGGAGGGCTGATGTCACGGCGGCCTGTGGACAGGAGGTTGAGGGAACTCGCTCTTGGCTCCTTGGGTTGCGTTGACTGTTCCCAGTCGGGGTGGTTGATGTCCAGGCTGTGACCTCTGAGGTTGGCACAGCGATTGATTCTTTTTGCAGTTTCACAACTGACCCACAGCAGGTGCTCACAGTCGCCCGGGGAGACCACCCAGGATTAATATCACCCAGCAGCCTGTTGTCCTTTGGACACCTGAACACACACACACACACACACACACACACACACACACACACCTTGGCATCATTTGTCCCAGCTTCTGTTTGTTTCTGTGGCTGTCTTTGAGTTCAGCTGGACCCTGTGGGAATGACTTTTAGTTTGAAGTTGTAGGAATGAGGAGTAAATGATTCTCTGTGCTGGTTTAGAATTTCCTTTCTTCTTGTCCAAAAGGTGTAGGGTGACAGTGTGTCCCAGATTTTTTTGGACGGAGCAAAGCTTGACGATTTTGCAGTGTTGTCCCAATCAAAATCAGAATCAGGGCAGAGGCGGGGCCCAGAAAATAAGTTCAGTCAAATTATAGCCAAAGCGAGGCCGTCATTTTACCATAACAATGTGCCTTAGCTCCACAGATTCTGAAATTCGCAGTTAGGCTTTGAAAAAATATGATCACTGTTGATGGAGGTGTCACAGTCTTTGTTTGGGGTCCTGGAATAGCAGGAAGAAAATGCTAAAATCAACCTACTCCTTGTGGGGGAGGAGGAGTGGCGGTCGGTGGGTATTGCCAGTGTGTGTGTGTGTGTGTAATTTTCCTAAATTCAAAGTGAAATTTACAATATATTTGGAAGAGATGAGAGTTAATTAACATGAGATAAATGTGCTAGCTGATGAGTTTTTTTGTTGTTGTTTTTCAGGGAGAGAAATAGAGAGAGGCACAAATCACCCCGAAGCAAAGATGGCAGAGGATCCGAAAAGGCTGTCACCATCCAGGCGCCCACCGGGGAGCCCCTGCTGGGGAACGACTCCACGCGGACGGAGGAAGTTCAGGTGAGGGTCCAGGGTGGTCTGTAAGCACACGGCCCCTCCATCGGGGCTCTTTTCGGTAAATGTTTTCCTAAGTCTTGTAGCGGTAGGTTCTCTTGGGCTTTTACCTTTATTTTTCCAGCATGTTAACTAGTTTATCTGTGTCCTGTGGTTTCTTGTTGGTCTTACGGGCAGCCTGTGCTGCCATTGGCCAGCTTGCGGGCGCTTCCGAAGTGTGGCGGGTGGGCCTGCTATGAGTCGTGTTGGAAAGAAGCCAGCTCGGCTGACACCGGGGCAGAGGAGGGAGAAGTGTGGGCTCAGTGTCTGGAGACTCACTGCAAGGGGAACAGGATACAAGAGGAAAGGACCCTCCTTTCGGAAACCCCGAGTCCTGTGGGGAGAAGAGCGGGCGGTTAGGGCAGCCCTGAGTGAGCATCACTCCTAGACATGAAATCGATCAGGGGCCGCGTGCTTAGATGCCGGGTGGGAAAGCACAGGTGGACGAACCGGCCCTGGGACACACAAAAGGCCAAAGTGTGTCGGGCAGGTTGGGGATGGGCAGCAGTCTGTGGCTCGGGAGCGCCAGGGCCGTGAGCGGGGAGGGGTCTGGGACACAGGAGGATGCATTTGCTCCGTCGGGAGCAGCAGCTCCTATATCCAGACGCTGCTCACTGCTCAGGAGCGCAGGGGCTCTGCCTGTGGGCCTGGGTCCTGCCATATTTAGGAAAGGCTGGAGATCAGGATTTTATGTGAACTCACTCAGTGTTTTAAGTACAGTGGCTTTTGAACTGTCGCGGGTCCACTTACACACGGATCTTTTTCATTAAGTAAAGGACAGTCCTGGGAATGTGTTTTCTCATCCTTATGATTTTTTGAATAATATTTTCTCTAACTTACTTTATTATTAGAAAATAGTATGTGATACATATAACATACAAAATGTGTCTTAATTCTTTGGGTTATTGGTAAGGCATCTGGTCAACAGTAGGCTACTAGTAGTTTAGTTTTGGGGGAGTCAAAGTTATATGCAGATTTCGACGGAGCCCCGGGGTCAGTGTCCCTGACCCCCACATTGTTCAAGGGTCAACTGTTTTGGTAATTTATGAATTTTTATAAAACATTGTGTGGGGTCTTCTCTATGGGCCTCCACTATCTGGCAGCCCATCTGGCTTAAACATCTGAGCTTACACTCAGAAACATGTTTGCATACCCTCCCCAGCTTGGGAAATAGATGCATGTCCAGCCTGGGCCCCAAATAACCCGGTGTGTGCACACACAGCTGTAAGGAGGTAGGACTGTGGAGAAGTCTCTGTGTGCGTGTGGGGTTGCACAGATGTGCATTTCTGAGCAGGTAGATGGGCTCCTCAGAGCAGACAGGGTGCCCTTGGGACCCAGAGCTGCAGCTGCGGGACGAGGGCGGGGTGTGTCCAGGATGAGTAACGTCTGTAGTCCTCACTCTCTCACTGCCCGCCGTGGCTCTGGGAGGGCCAGGGGGCTGGAGGGTCGGAGGGGTGGTTGGATGGATGGGGCCACTCCTGAGTGGACCACCCTCAGTGCCACAGGGGTCCGTTTCCTTCTAGATGTGGATCCAGTGGTGCTGATGGCCCGTGCAAAGGCACTTCTTCTTTGCAGCTTCCCTACGCCTTGTAGCTCCATTGGGAAGCTATTGGTGTTGACACCAGGATGACGTGATGGGAAATGCACTGGGAGGCTGTACTCAGCTGCTATGTGACCTTGGCAGTCACCTTGGTGGGCCTCAGCTTCTTCACTGAAACTCTAGGAACATGGATTCGAGGGTCTTCGATCCTTTCTGTTCCAAGAACCTCAAACTTGAACCAGACAGCCCTTTAGCCATCTGCATTTTTTAGGCTCAGATGTGCACACATTCTTAACATGGACAGGGATTTAGTTAGCAACGCTTTGGCATTGAGTGTCAACCGAAGACTAGGCCCTGTACACCGTGTGGAGTCCCGCGTCGCCCTCACTAAGAGCATAGCCAGGTCAGTTATTTTAGGGAGCCCGTGAGCTCACCCCGGTGTGGAAGCAAGGTGCCATCTTTGAATTTTCCCCCCTTGCTTGTGATTTTGTTCTTTTTTAAAAACTGAAATAAATTTATACACAGAGACATGAACAGACTAAAGGGTACAGTTTGGTAAACTTTAAGAGCTGAATAAAACCCATATAACACATACTTCTATCGATAAATGTATTTCCATTGCTCTAGAAAGTTCTCTCAGGTTCTTCCCTGTCTCCCCCTGCCCCCTCTCCAAGCCCGGCTTTGATTTCTGTCCCTGTCGATTAGTCTTGCCTGTTTTAGAATTTCATGTCATTGGAATCACATTCTTTTGATTCAGACTTTTTTTCACGCAGCATCATGATTGGAGATTTCTCCACGCTGTGGTGTGTTTCCGAGGTTCCTCCTTTGGGAGTTTTGCTGAGTCGTGTCCCAGGGTACAAATGTCCCACAATTTGTTACGCGTTTTCCTGAACGACAGGCATTTGGGTTGCACCATTTTTGGGCTCCGATGAATAAAACTGTGAAGGACCTTCCCGTACAAGTCTTTTGTGGACATATGTTTTCATTTATTTTGATAAAAACCTGGAAGTGGAACTGCTGGGCCATACAGTGAAGCATACATTTAAATGTCTATGGAAGTGCCAGGCTGGCTTTCAAGAGCGATTTGTGCGCCTTATGCTTCCTCCAGCGATGTCCGAGAGTCCTGGGTGCTTCCTCGTCTTAAATGGTCCCTTCCCTCCTGGTGTGTGGCTCCAGTCGCTTTCCAAACTGAGGAACTGTCTCTTCACAGGCCAGGCCCTTCGCCCCCTACCCCGCGCCTTGCCGTGGCCTGTGCATTTTGTGAATCCAGTTTCTTACCCTTACTAGGTTAGAGGTTATTGTTCAGTCCTGAGCGCTCTATCTTGCTGAGTCAGCTGTTAAACTAGATTTTTTTAAGTTGGTGTCTTACACATGAATTTCCCTCCGTCTGACTTTTTTCCCAGTTAAATCCCACACACGAATCCCTGAGGCCCACCCCTGGACTCCATGTGGCTTTTCATTGCCTCCTTCTCTGTTGTTGCTTTTCGGGGTGGAGTCAGAGTTGCCAGCGAAATAGCAAAATTGCTTAAAATCCTGACAACTGGGTCTTGTTCAATGAAGACTCTTGGCTGTAACTAGAAACCACCTCTGAGTTAAAAAGAGAGAAAGCAAGAAAGCAAAAGGCAGACACGCCGTGAAGATCCTGGTACCCCCGGGCCCTGAGGTTCAGCTTGCCAGGAGCACATGTGTCGTGGGAGGAGGTCTAGCTGCCCTGGCCAGAGTCGCTTGGATTTGCTTAGCTTGTTTCTTGAGAAGCGTTGCCAGGGAGTGCTCGACGCTGGTATTTATTAAATGGGCCTTGGGAACGTCACGGAGCTCCAAAAACTGTGTGTCCTCGCTGCAGGTAAGCCTTGGTCCGAGCAAGGAAAGTTCCCTTTGATGCCTTCCGCTGCGTGAGCTACCGGAGGGCACTTCCAGAAGGTGGGCTTGTAGCCTTTGTGACCCAGGCATGAGTGGAGGAGAACAGGAGGAGGGTTTTCTCCTTGTGCCACAGGTGGGCCCTCCTGTGTTAGTCTAACAAGCAATGGGATTGGTTAGTGCAGAACAGATAGCCCCAGGCCCCTCCAAGCCTCTCAGGGGACTCCAACAGGGAGGGGGTGATAATCATGTCATAATGAGTCACCCAAACAAGCCAACAAAAGGGTCACATTACATTCTCTCTGTTTGTAAATAGATACAGTGCATTTTGAGAAATGTCAGTGGTGATTGTTAAAGTTTAAAAAGTCCTGTATTGAACACGTTAAGCTTCAATGTTCTAGGAAGCCCAGGCGGGTGGGTCGGTTCTGCGGGTGGGACCTCCCGCCCACCCACCGTGTCCGCAGGTGGCCTTTGTGAACGACCCGCTGCGTGCGGCTCTGCATCCTGGTTGTTTTCTCCCGTCAGGATGACAACTGGGGGGAGACCACCACGGCCATCACCGGCACCTCGGAGCACAGTATCTCCCAGGAGGACATCGCCAGGATCAGCAAGGACTTGGAGGACAGCGTGGGGCTGGACTGCAAGCGCTACCTGGGCCTCACCGTGGCCGCGGCGCTCGGACTCCTAGTCTTCCTCACCCCCATCGCCTTCATCCTGCTGCCCCCCATCCTGTGGAGGGACCAGCTGGAGCCCTGCGGCACCATCTGCGAGGGACTCTTCATCTCCGTGGCCTTCAAACTCCTCATCCTGCTCATCGGGACCTGGGCCCTCTTCTTCCGCAAGCAGAGAGCCGACCTGCCCCGGGTGTTCGTGTTCCGGGCCCTCCTGTTGGTCCTCATCTTCCTCTTTGTGGTTTCCTATTGGCTCTTCTACGGGGTCCGCATTTTGGACTCTCGGGACCGGAATTACCAGGGCATCGTGCAATACGCGGTCTCGCTGGTGGATGCGCTGCTCTTCATCCATTACCTGGCCATCGTCCTGCTGGAGCTCAGGCAGCTGCAGCCCGTGTTCTCGCTGCAGGTGGTCCGCTCCACCGACGGCGAGTCCCGCTTCTACAGTGCGGGGCACCTCAGGTAAGCGGGGCGTTTGGGAGTCTTCAGCTACTGAGGGGCGATGACAGGTGCCAGGGCCCGGGCTGACTCTAACTCAGGTTTTGAGAAGAGCTGTGTGTGTGTGTGTGTGTGTGTGTGTGCTTGGTGTTCGTGGACATGGACTGTCCTCACTTAGGGATTTGGGGTGCCGTTGCCGGCTGTTATCCAGGTCGGAGTTTAGCTGGGCCTGGTCTCGATGTTGGTGGCACCTCCCAAAACTTTTGGCGAAAGGGAGAAAGGATGCCCAGTGAGGGCTGCTGACTTTGCCCCTGAACTTGGTCTGTGAATGATGGACTAAGTGATTGGCAATTCCACTTGCTCAGAATGGTACACCTGGTTTACCCTGTCCTCCCAGTGGGATTACCAATCGTTCCTGTTCTGTCCACTCTCAGAGGTGCCCTGGTTTGGGCAATAAATTACAAGGTCACCCAGGCGACCCTCCAGTCACGAATCAGTGCAGCAAGGGACCTCAGGGTTGGGTGTTTCGAAGGTGCATATGTGAGAACAAGTTAGAAATACAGGGAGATGTCATGCTCTAAATCTGTGCATTCTACCTAATTATCGTGCGGTTAACGAAAAGAGCAATAACCATCATTCATTTACTTAATTTTATTTTTATTCATCCCAAGGTAAGCGTTTTATGTAAATTGCCCTGGTTAGTCTTCAATTTAAGTATTATTAATCTCTGTTACCGATGAAGAAAGGAGCATTTAGGGAATTTAAGTAATTTGTACAAAATAATATGGCTGTGGTTGTGGATTCGCCCACATGTCCTGACGCAGGGCCGGGTTAATGTCCGCAGGATGGTGTCTCCCGCTCTGTGTTTACTGGCCTATTTTTTCGTCTGTTTCCTTCCACAAACCATGACTCCCCAGGCTGGGGGCTGTGTCTCTCTGCATCCTCGGTGCCTGGCCTGGAGCACGCACGCTGCTGGCAGTCACGTGGTTACACGCTGGAGAATCCCCCGGGCTGTCTGGCTTGGCCGATGCATGTAACCTGCTTGGCACCCGGTCGTCACGTTAATTGTAGCCGTCGCTGCTGCGGTGCCGTAGCTGCCAGAAGGCACCTCAGTGGGTATCAGACCAATGGGCCTGGTCGTGTTTCTGGCTGGGGCCCAAGTACGTCACCCTGGAGTCGGGTCACCCTGCCCACCCCCTCAGTGCTGGCACGCACCCGCTCGCACCCCTCGGGCCCAGCCCGCACATCCTGGACCGGGTGGCTTAGGGTTCAAGGCCGCGGCCACCCTGACCCGTCGCATGGAAGCAGTTCCCATCCACGTGTCTGTGCAGTAAGCCTGCGTTTCGAGTCCTCTCGGGTGCCTGGGGGCTCTGAAGGGAAGTAAGACCTGCAGCGTGTTCATCGCAGACACCTCACTGTCCCCGTGTTTCACGTTGGGCACGAGCAGACTTGTTTACACCCCTGTGCTGGGCAGAGCCCAGGCCTGGGCCCCGAGACCCAGGACGCTGCCCTCAGAGCGCTGTTCCGGAACTGCTGGGCTCTCGTCCCCCGGGAGCGGTGGACAGTTGCTGGCTCGGGCCTGGGCCGGGTGATGGGAGCCCAGGGCGGGCGAGGGCATTCCTGGCGGGGGCAGCAGCCAAGCCGTGGGGAGCAGTCTGCCTCAGGACGGGACAGGCTTGGAGGCAGCTGAGGGGCGAGAGGGTCCCAGGCTGGTCCCAGTAGAGGTGAGTGATAGGGGACTTTGTAAATACAAGCGGCCAAGACGCCGGCAGGGAGGCCCGCTGCAGGTTTGTGTTTTGGCCCCAGCCCTGCCTCGTTGGTGTGAATCCCACCTGCGGAGGGAGAAAGGGAAGGGAGGCTTCTCACCTTAGGAAGTCGGGTGGTGGGGTACCTCCCCTCCGGGGCTCCCCATCACTCCTCCTAAGGCTGCATGGGGGTCATGGGGGGGACCAGCAGAACAGCCCAGGGCGGTGTGCCTGTGAGTGTTCGGAAATCGGCAGTAGTCCTGGTACCTCGCCCAGAACCCTGCGGCCGGGGTAGACCTTGGTGGGAGGGGCTGGACTGATTGCGCCGTGGGCCCGCAGGCTGGCCGCCAACCTCTCCCGGTGTCCTCGCCATGACCAGCAACCTCCCGTCTGTACTGCTGACCCTGAAGCATTAACCCCAGGCAGACGCGGGAGCTCCGGTTCCCAGCAGCCCCGGGAGCCCAGGGCCAGGTGGTCCCAGGATCTCCTCGCGGCTCCTCTCCAGGGCCCTTCGTTTCCCTCTCCCTCCCTCCTGTGGAGACCCTGGTTATGGGGCGGAACGAGGGCTGGAGGAGGGGAGACCCTTTATCACAAGTAGAGCCCCCTGGCCGAGCCCGCAGCCCTGGGGCCAGTCAGCAGCTGGGGCAGCCTGGCATCTCCCTGCAGGCACTGCGTGGGCTCGGTCGCCCGCCGATCCTCAGGCTAAATCTGGCCCAACCCAGCGGTGGCTGGAAGAGTCGCTTGTGCCAGAAATACAACTTCTAAGCCCTTTGTAAAGCGTAGAAACTGGGGAGGGGGTCAGAACAGACAAGAGGGAGTCCTGGGGTCCCAGCAGCCAGTCCTCCGCCCCCACGGGCATCACAGGCCTGCACGCCTTTGTGCCCGTCTGTCTTCCGCAGCAGCGACCCGTGGGCCGGGGTGCAGGCGGCGGTCGGGTCTTTTTTGTTTTGTTTCCAAAGAGGATTCTATTGAATGGACTGAGCTATTTTGGAGAGTTGTCTGATTCTTCAGTTTCTTAGAGAAAATCTGCTTCTTGTTAGCACTCATAAAAGGTCCTTGCAGGGGCCCTGCTGGCCGGCAGGAACGGAGTCCTGGCTGATTTGAAATGTTCGGAAATGGAAAAGGTTATTGCACAAAGTGAGATACTGTAAGGAGAGAGAGAGACTTCCTGACCTCTGCCCAGCGCCTTAGGGATGTTCCATCTCATTTACTCCTCCTGCCCCCAGGGGTGGGGCCGGTGGTGGGTGCGACAGGCCTGGGCCGGGTAATGGGAGCCCTGTACAGGGGAGGGTCCCCAAGCCGAAGGCTAAGGGGCCTGGGCGACACGCCCTGCCCCTTGCTCTCCTCAGCACCCCAGCGTCTCAGTCTCAGCGTGTTTGCTTTGTAATTGTGCACACATGTGACTTGTCACTTTTCTTGGTTCCCTTCTCACAATGAGTTGCTAACTTTTCTAAGACTTCACCAAAGACTATTGAGTTTTGATCTGACTCTTTTGGGGAGAAATCTAGAAGAAAAGAGAAAAGAGACTAAAAATGGCATTTAATTATCCTGATGGGTAATTTCTCCGTTTTGAAATCTTTAAAGGTTAATGCTGTGACTACTGGAGCGTAGAAGCTAAGTGTAACAGACTGAACCCAAGATGTAGGACAACCCTAACCATTACCTAGTCCTTACCACCTGCCGGGCACCTTCTAACCCCTTAACGTTAACTCACTTAATCCTAAGAGTCCTGTGGGGCCCGCACTGTTAGCCTCATTCTGAGGCATCGAAGAGTTGAGTAGGTTGTCGGTGGCTGTACAATTCGTGGTTGTCGGAGCCAGGATTGGAACCCAGACTGCTTGGTTCCAGAACAGTCTTAACTGTTTCACTACAGTGCCTCTGAATGGGTATGTCCGTGCTCCCGTCACCGCTTTAAGAGTGCACGCAGGGCCCTGGCCCGGGAGCTCAGTTGGTCAGAGTGTCGTCCCGATAGGCCAAGGTTGGGGGTTTGATCCCGGTCAGGCACATACAAGAATCAACCAGTGAATGCACACATAAGTGGAACACCAGATCGATGTTTCTCTCCCCTCTCCCCCCCCCCCTTTTCTCTCTCTCTCTCTCTCAAATCAATTTTTAAACAGTGCACGGAGGAACTCATAAGCATTTTTGAGCGCTTCCCAAGTGCCAGGCTGGATGCTACTTTTTACACATTATTCTGTTTCGTTTAACTCGTCACTTTGGGGCTGGGGCGGAGAGAGCGGGGATTGTCAGAGACTCGGCCTTGCGCTCTGCATCGTTACTAGCCCACTGGTTCTTTTATCCAGTCGGTGCGCGAACAGGCCCGGGCCTGACAACCACGGCAGTAAGGTTGAGCCTTTGTCTGGCCCAAGCTCTTTAGCTTCCTATATGTCCCTTGTCCCAAAGAAGACCTCTTTGTACCTATTGCTGTAGAAAGCCACCCAGAACCTAGTCGTGGAGAGCAGCCTTTCATGGTTTTATTATGATTTCTCCCCGTTCCGTGGGCTGGGCTCGGGGTGAGGGCCTTCAGTTGGCCTGGCCGGTGGTCCCTGTGTGCTTGCGGGCCTGGGGCGGCGGCCGGGCTGGGCTTCTCTTCCTTCCCAGAGGCCCCCCTTTGGGGAGTAGTTCCTGCGAGGGCAGCTGGACTGCTCCGGGCTCCCAAGAGCACAAAGCAGGCGCTCCCCGGCCTTTTAGGGCTCAGCCCTGGACCTGGCCCAGCACGACTTGCCCTGAATTCTCTTGTCAAAGCCAGTCCGAGCCCCAGCCCAGATGTAAGGAGAGGACTGTGCGAGGTGGGAAGTCCTGGGAGGGCTGGTTCCTTGGGGTCCACAGCCGCCTCGGGCCCTCATTCTCAGAGTTTGTGTGTTTCTTTTTTTAAAACATGTTTTTATTTATTTCAGTGAGAGGAAGGGACAGGGAGAGAGAGATAGAAACATCGTTGATGGGAGAGAATCATTGATCAGCTGCCTCCTGCATGCCCCACGCTGGGGATCGAGCCTGCAGCCTGGGCATGTGCGCT